CACACGCGTGCATGTGTATATAGTATAAATTATGTATGATATTAATCGAAAGCCAAAAATACATGAGTTCATGTGGTTCCTTGGCCTGGGCTCCACCAGAATTAACAGCATTTCAAGCCATGGTGACCCCACAGCTTTAGCACTGCTTAGTACATATGTGTACTTTGGATACCCCCTGTCCCCCACCCCCAACAAAGGATCCATTGGCTAGTTAGCACCCTGCTCATGATTGGAACTGGGTGTTCTTGTCATGAGTCCTGGCATGCTCCAAAAATGTATATGCAGTTAATGATAGGCACTGTATTTTGTGAGGTTTCCTTGTACAGTAAAAGCTGTGTTATCTGGCACTTTACCATCCAGAATACTCTGTTAACTGGCATCTGTCCCATCATGGCATTTCCAGTTTCACCGCTGTGAGCTGAGTTCCACTTCTTCCTTGTGGACCACAGCCCAGGGCAAAGCAGTGTGCATGGGGGCCCCCCTCCCTGTCCCCTGGCACACTGATGCCAGGGAGTGAAAGCCCTGGCGCACCAGATGCAGCAGGAGGGGCAGCAAGACAAAGATGCCTCCAACAGATAAAGACACCTCCAACCCCCTAGGCTGGAGATAGGTATAACTCTCAGATAACTGGCACATTTGATTAACCGGCACTCCCATTCCCCATGGATGCTGGACAACAGAGCTTTTACTGTATACAAATGTAAGAGGAGGATTTTTTCCCTTATGGTGTCAGGGGGGACCTTGTCTTGTATTTGACTAAATATGTCAGGAGTTTTCAACCTTTTTGTATCATTGTACCTCTCTTCCCCCTCACCGCCTGGTGGCCAGACGCAGAGCAGTGAACCCCTGGACACTGAGTTGGGGGGTGAGGGAGTGGCAGCCATCGTATGCAAACTTCCCCCATCCTCTGCGTCCAGCTTGGTGGACAGCACCTGCACAGCAGCACAGGACACTGTGTGGCAGTGCTCTGTCCCCACCTGCGCATAACCGTGTGGCAGTTTCAAGTACCCCCGGGGGTACGCATACCCCCGGTTGGCGACCTCTAAAATATGGTATCTCAAAATAAAAAAAAAAACAACAACAACAACAAAGATTTTCTGGTCCATATTATAGGTGAGTAGACTGAGAGAACGACTAAGACCTAGATCCCCAAGCACATTTAGGTTCAGTTACTTCAGTGAAGTTAGGTGCCTAAATGCTTTTGTTGATCTGGGTTGAATTACACCCATAATTAAAGATGACATCAATGACATACATAGATGCTTTTTTTCTTTGAATTGCTGTGTGCTGTTGAGGATTAAACATGCTGGATATGGAAGAGAGAATGGAACACCTCTTCCAGCTTCCTACCTTTTCCTTTAAACACAACATGATCCTCTTTATGGTGTATGCACACACAAACTCTTCAAAATTATTGAAACAATGACATTGAGGCTGCAAAGACAAAGTCTCATAGGTAAAGAAATGCTGGTTGCTTGTGCAAACTTAATTTGCTCCCTTGTACATAAGAATTTTGATACAGCCCCAAATTTCATGGTCCCATACTCTGATGTACCACTGATGGGAGATTTGAGCCTTCCAGTGTAGAATTCAGCCATGTGAAAACTGAGATTATTTCTTCCTGCAGTTAGTTGTATGCTTTGTTAATACTGGGCCATATTCATTATGGGATATAGATAGGGTGACCACTAACGCATCCCCAGAATACAGGACAGCCCCTTGGTGAAAGGTAGGCTTCCTTGGCCAATCAGCTTTGAGGGGTGGGGTCACTGCCTCAGCCAGTCAGCAACAAGGGGTGGGGCCACTGGGCATCTTGGCCACTCAGCAGCAAAGTGAGGGGGGCACCACCTCCTTCCCGCTTTCCCTTCTTGGCTGGCTCATCCCCTCTTCTCCTGGCTGTGTGCACTACCTTACCTCTAAGCATAGCTGATAGAATCATGAGGACAAATGATTGACATGTATTTCCACCAATGAACCGAAAAACAGGACTTTTTGCAGTCTGTTCCTCATTCAGAAATGAACGGGGTCAAAGGGTTTAAAAACAAGACAGCCCGGTATAAAACAGGACCAGTGGCCACCCTAGATATAGATGTACAATACTTGGCATCACTGTACCAAATTGTTAGGTGCTGGCTTATGGGGTGGAATGGACAATGCTGAGGGGAGGCCACTAAGTTGCCTATTCCAGCTGTCAGTAACCCTTTAAAAACAGAAGGCCACAGCTTGCAACTTTGCTACCGCTGCTGGATGTTGATCCGCTTCTCGGTGCTCCAACCCTCCCTGTTCTGTGCCAAGGAATGGTTTTGCACTTCCCTCCTGCAGGCTTTGCTTACCCTTGCCACTGAGTGCTGCGGTTTCCTGTGGCTAACACTGATGAGGAGCAGTAAATATGGCAGTCAGCTTAAGTATAGGTCACTGAAAGGGCATTCCTTTTTGCAGGGCAGGGGCAGCTGGGGCACTATGGAGGGCATTGATTGTATGCAGTAGAGGAATACATGGAGCAGGACAGAGAAAGTGGCCCTGCTGTTGCAAGCCACTGGTTCCCTACACCTTTCCCCCCAACACCCATCCTGTTGCTGGTTGGATCTGGCTTTTGGGTCATAGGTTGTGGATCCCTGCCCTATCCAGGGAGAGGGTTAGGGGCTTAGGAATTGTGTTCACAGCAGCCAGCAATCTACCAAATCAGGCAGCTCAGGGGACTTAGAAGGAACATAGATACCTAATTTGTGACTCTCAAATGACCCTTGAGGAGCTCAGCATATTTTTGCCACAGTAGTGGCAGTCTGGTCATGTGTAGTAGTAGAAGTGTAGGTGCCAAGATTACTGGCAGAAGCTTAGATGTATATAACCTTTCAGGTGTCGAAAGAGTTAGGCAGAGGGGTTGTAGATTGTGTTCTTGGACTGCTAAATCTTGCTTTAGGCATTTGGGGCACCTATAAACGTGACTGACACTTGCTCCAACGTGTTCTAATTAGTACGAGTTGGAGCAGACTTGATTAATCGAGTTTGCTGGAGCATGCCGATTAGTCTGCTCCAGCAGCCTTAGTGTTGCGCGTATTCAGAATCTCCATGCTTCAAAATGGTGGCAGGGGCACTTGAACTAAAGTTTGTTGAATGATCTTTAGCTAAAGTGCCTCTGCTACCATTTTGAAATGCAGGATGGTGGCTCCCAAGAGTTGCTCTAATAAAAGCATGCCTTAAAGAAGTCCCTAGGGCCCAAATCTACAAAAACACTTAGGTGCATCCCAACTTCTGTATCCAGGAAACAAAGTTTTACAGAGAGTTCTTCATTGTGTAATGTCCATCCTACGCACAAACAGAGGCCCAGTCCGCATCAGAACCTGCTCTACTTAATAGATGATAGTAACTTCTGTGAAAAATGTATGGACTAAAAATTCAGCCTTATTGGTATAGTGCGGATTAAATAAGTAATGATGCAGGGTAAAAGGTTGCAAATGGAAGCTACATTTTGGTTAAACTTTAGAATATTTGAAGGCCAGCTATTTCTTGCTCGTGCTGTTTTAACTTCAAGATTTGTAATTTTATTTTCTCAGCAATTGCCTATGTATTGATTGGTAATGGCCTATATGATGAAGCAGTACGACATTTTTCATCAATGCTACAGGTAAATGTTCACTTGTTTTTGTTTGAAAAATTTAAACTTTAACTTTTATTTTACAAACCAGAACAGCAATAACTAAAAGTATTGTAAAATTCTAACCTAAAATCACTCCAGCTTTTAGGACTAACATTTTGGACTGATTCACTCCTATTAAATCCCTGGATTTTTTTGTGAAGTTAAAAGGAGACTCTGGTATCAGATGTGACAGTGAATGCAGCAGATAAACCTGGTTTAAAAAAATAAAAAACCCACACACCTGATTACACAAGTATCCAGGTAAATCAGTTTATAATCAGCTAGCCTGCTGAAGGGGGATTTATTTACTATCAGGAGACAGGAACACAAACAAATAAAAATCACTTTATTTGGTCTGTTTCAGTTTCCTAGAAGTGCAGCTGAAAGGGACTACTCTAACATGTAGATGCAGTTGTCTTTCAGTATATTATTGATAGGAGTACGCTGATAGATATTTAAGTGGCTGATACTGATACCTGATTTTTAAAGAGGCATATTGGCTGAAAATGATACAATTTTCAACACAGCTGTGTGCAGCTGGTAAGTCTGTTGTGGTGGAAAAGATGTGGGGGGCAGATAAACACCCCCCCACCCCCCCCGCAGTGAGGGAAGGAATAGAGCAGGTGCTGCCTGGGCATCCCGCACAGGATGGAGCTGCAGGACGGAGCTGCAACTCATTCAGGGAACACGGGGGCGGGTCTTGCTGCTGTGTGTACCCCGGGAGGGCACGGGGACATGTGCCCCTGGATCTGCAAATGGGGAGAGGGCGGAGGGGGCTGCAGCTGTGGGCTGGGGGGGTGGCTATGGGTTGGGGCTGCAGCCACCCCAAATTTTGTCGTAGTCTCCCCATAGCCGTCACCGCCCACCCCAAGTGCAGCCTTGCCCAGGCCCCAGCCCACACTGCAGCCCCCCCTTCCCCATGCATATCCAGGGACACATGCCCCCACCCCGTGCGCTCCTGGCATGTGCACAGGGGCGGGAGAC